ATAATCCATTCAAGAATGCATTGTATTCCCTTGTCCCGCCTCCCTCCCTCCTGATTCGCTGGAGCGCCAAGGTGGCAGGAGCCTTCTGATTGGCTCTGGCGCACTGCAGGAGCCCTGTGATTGGCCCAGGCATGCGGGAGGCGGCCGAGCCTCCTCCCAGCTGTTAACGCGCCAGCCAATCACCTCTGAGCAGGGTGAGGGGCGGAGAGTGGGAGATTTGAACCACACAACTCTGTATTTCTATAAAAATGGCTTTATTTTGTACTCACGTTATGCTCAGCATGGCGAATGGGCGAATGATGGCTGCTTTGCATCCTTTTCAGCTGAATTGCTAATAAATCATCTCGTTAGCACTTTCTTCAACTTTGGTGAGATTCTTTTTGGGAACCTAGGGAAAATAAATTACTTAAAATTAGGCTTCTCTTTGCTCACCAACATAGCGATCCCTCTTTGGTGGGGCCGCAGGGTCTCTCCTCCTGGAATAGACCCTTTTAAATTCCCTATCGACTTCATGAATGCAAGGCTAAGCCTTATAAGATCCTATTAAAATGGTACAGCAGCAGCAGAAATGGTGGCAAAGGTGAGTTGAACCTGCAGTCATGAAACTTTGGATACAGCATGCCCACCATATATATTTATTAAGCTAAGCAAAATCCAATTGGCTCACCCGGCCATTTCAGAGTGGCTACATTATGCATCTATGACTACTTTGTTTCTTCCATTCTGAGGTGTGCTTTTTTCCTGTATAAGACATTTCTAAAAATGAGGTGCATCTTAGAATCGTAAGTATATTGTCCTTTTTTTGGTGGTGGCAATGGTACTGAGATGAGGTTACATCTTACAATCTATGGTGTCTTACAATGGATGAAATGTGACATTTCAAGAAAGTGATTTGCATAGTGAATGACTGTGGTAGTGAAATGGCAGTCCTTCCCTTAAATCTATTCCTGGCCTTGTTTCCCAGTTAAGACCAGGAACAAGGAGATTATAAACACAGGAGCTTTATTTTTGCAGAAGCAAAACCCACGGTGGGCTTTGTAAAGCCAGAATAATGCCACTTCCTGGGAGATAAAATGGAGCCTCTTTTATACACGTTTCTCTTGGTCACACATTGCACTGTAACATTGCTCATTCTGCCTCCCTTCTTGGTCATTCTCTGCATATGTCCAAGTTTCTCAATGAAGTGATTGTTTTTCTTAGTTTGCAGCTTGCATTATCTTACCTTTTGGCTGCTTTTGCAGGCCAAAGTCTTGAAGGCCAGAATGGTCTCCATTGCTGTGGAAACCTAGCTCTTCACTCTCCAGCCTACTCTTCCTAACTCCCCATCCCGTCTGTACTGTTATTCTGTACTGTTCCACTACACGGGCGGAGGCCACAAGGGGTGCTAGAGAGAGAAGGGTGGTCCGTTTTATGGGTGGAGGGTGAGTTGGAGGAGTAAAACCATTTCACTCTTTTCCTGTTATTTCCCCCACCCATGTTGCTGTTGTGGAAACAGCCCTTGTTTATGAAATGGGAAGTGGGGAGGGAAAACAACCGGCTAAAATAGGGAAAATTGTTTTCCTCCTTTAACTCCCCTCCCCATAAAATGGACTATCTCTAGCTCCCCCTTGTGGCCTCCAACCAGATAATGGAACAGTACCAATTACTCTTCCAACAATGGTTAACATTATGTTTCAGCCAGGTGTCTTGAGTAGGATCTTTTGTGGCAAGATAAAACTCTGTCAAGCTAAACTGGTGTGAGATAGGCAAGGTTTGAGCCAGTGGTTCCTTCCTTCCAGTGCTTACTATGCTGTAGCTTCCTGTAGGTAGTTTAAAGATGTATTGTTTTACATAGGGCATCCTTGAACACAAGGACAAATTAATTCCTTAGCTTCTTCCCACTATTTTTTCTTCATAGCTTCTGGCTTATATTTGCCTATTCAAAAAGCATGTAGAGAAACTATTCAGTTCAGACATGGTCAGGGGAAAGGGGCAAGGAACCTATTTTTGGTACAAAACCTCACTAGGGGTTTCCAAAAATACATATTTTTGTGCAAAGATATTGGGTTGAGGACGGCATTTCTTTTCAGAAAAAAAGTGTGTTTTTCCTCCCCTGGATGCAGTGTCTTTTGAGCAAAACTTAAAATGAATTTTAAAAGCCATGTGCATGTTTGCACAGAAGGACCATTTCCTGAAGCCCTGAAGTTGGGCCAAAGCAGCACAAAACCCTCACTTCTGTGTTACTCTTCCTGACCAGGTTTCCTAAACCAATGTTTTGTGTGTCCAAGAAAGGAATAACAGGGAAGAGCCTGTCCATCCCTTTATGGGTTTGCAGCTACTTTTAGCCCGGCAGGATCAGGTGACCTCAGGAAATAGCCAGGTCCCCTCTTGCCTTGTATAATGGCTGGCGCTGATCTGTCTCCTTGGGTTGAGCAGCGCGTTGTTCATTGAAGGCAAAACTGCTGGCCGACTACTTGGGAGTGAAGTTGGGAGAAGTTTTTTCCAAATGCACCCCCTTCCCATTAAAGAAAAAAAAAAGCCCCAACAAACTCTTGGCTCGTCTGCCTCCAGGCTGCCAGCCCCGAGAGCTATTTCCGTCAGTGTCCTGATTTGTGAGGAGGAAGTATTCATAGTTTGGGAGTAAGGGTTAGGCGAGAGCATAATACATGCGTGTTCTAGATATTTGTGGCTTTAAACTAGAGTTGATTCAATAAAGAAATAGCTTTTTTGGTATGAGTCCTACATTTTCTATTCATGTTTTTTCCCCTCTCCCAGTGAGTCATGTCAGTTCACAACCAGGACTTGGAGTCTTTGCACACAGTCCTTCTATATGTTAGCATTTCAGGCTAATCTAATTAGGGCAAAGTAATTGTTCGCAGCTTAGGTTAATTAGTATTTGTGGTGGGTTGGCCTCCTAGCGAGTGTCGCACAACGCGTGTGTCGTTTGGCTGGTGTCAGTCATCTGCTCCTCTGCTTCCTGGAATACTGTCTGCAGTGAACGTTTTAGGGGGCTTCTTTGCAAGGTCTCCCAAAGTTGGAAGCTATGTGGTATTTGTGTCCCTCTCATGGAATTGTGTCCACATCTGCTTTCATAGTTTCACTTAAGTTACAAAGTTCTTTATTTAAATTTGAGGAAAAGTTGAAGTACAGTGGGCTGCTGAATTTATTTGTAAGTCGGAACAGGGACATTTTTAAGTGTGACTCCAGCCAAATCTATCTATCTACTGTCTGTGTCCCCATTTGGAGGATTCCATCTCACTTTCTGTCCCCGTGAGAACTGGATTTTGAAAAACATGGCTGGTTGTGGAAACAAGGATTGGAGATAAAACTTCAATGGAGACCTCTTCCCCCACGACAATGGCTCTTCCAGTTTATTTCATTTTCTTCCAAGGGGTACTTTCCTCTCACTTCCTGGTGTCTCAGCCCCGTTCATAACTGTGAGTTGTTTATATGTCGGATGTTTGTGACTTGGGGACAGCCTGTATAGAGTTGGAAGGGGTTTCAAGAGCCACCAAGTCCAACCACTGCTAAATGCGGGAAATCCAACTTGGGCATCTGCAGCAGGGAGATACATGCTCTGCCCCAAAAGTTATTGAAGGTTTTCTTGCATGGCATAAAGGCCAGGAACAGCAAATACAAATGGCCTGGACCATAATAGTATAGGCCATAATCAGCATTTTCGATTGTTCCCAGAAATTGCTCCTTGTAGCTGTGTTTTAGTGGCAACTTTAGGAAGTCAGAGTAGCAGTGTTCTGCATATTAAGCCTGCTTTGTATTCCTTCTCAATGCAAGCCCTTTGGAACTGGAGGCAAATCTAACTGCCACAGCTAGAAGATCAGGAGGAAATCTTCCTTTGGATGATAGAAGTTCAGTTCTTTGATTGCTGTCAGAAAGCAGTAGAATCTTTAATGATTTCACAAGACTCATGGGCTTTTAAAAAAGGATTTGTTATAAGCTGGTTATATGTTGAGTATAACTGTGATTGATGTTTTATCCCTTGAAGATATTGTTGTTTTTATTATTTACTGTCCATGTGAAAAAAACCCCACCTTAAATGCATGTTGAATTATTTTTAGAAACCTTATAGTACATTGCATGGACTGTAGGTATGCAGGACAAGAACAAAGGAATGGGTGAGAGAACAGAGAGCTATAGGGAGGCCATGTGCAAAAGATAAAAGATGCCAACTGACTCTAAGTGAACATTTTTGAAATAAAGGTTTGTATTTCATGATTTTGTAAGAAGGTTTCAGACTAAACATATTCTATGAATCATGTGCATATTTCATGGAGGCACTGGATCCAAGCAAGTGTTTGTAACAATGACATAGAAGGTATATGTAGAAGCCCCCTTCTTTGGAAGCTTTTAAACAGAGGTTGGATGGCCATCTGTTGGAGGTGATTTGATTGTGCTTTTTCTGCGTGGCAGAAAGAAGGGGGCAGGCCTAGATGGCTCATGTTGTCTTGTCCAACTCTTACCATTTTAATACACACGCACACACACACACACACACTGTATGGGCCATTGATTTTTGCACAGCAGATTCATAAATGTTCAAATTAGACAAAATTCTTCTTCAGAGTGAAATACTCCTACACCAATCTTTTATTCCTTCCTTCCCTCCCCTTCGCTCTTCCTTTCTTCTTTCCTCTCTTTTTTCTTTCTTCTTCCTTCCTTCCCTTCATCTTCTCCTTTCCTTTCTTCTTTTCTTTCTTTACTCCTTCCTTTCTTCCCTCCCCTTTGCCTTCTCCTCTCCTTTTTTTCTTTTCTTCCTTCCTTCCTTCCTTCCTTCCTTCCTTCCTTCCTTCCTTCCTTCCTTCCTTCCTTCCTGTCCCTTCTCCTTTACTTTTATTCCTTTCTTCTTCCTTCCTTCCTTCCTTCCTTCCTTCCTTCCTTCCATCTTCCTTCCTTCAATCCATCCATCCATCCATCCATCCATCCATCCTCCTTCCATCCATCTTCCTTCCTTCCTTCCTTCCTTCCTTCCTTCCTTCCTTCCTTCCTTCCTTCCTTCCTTCCAGGACGTCCTCACCTAAAATGACACAGCAAATGAGAGACCTACAGCTGGCCCAGTCTCGAAAGCAGCCTGGACCTTCATCTCCAAATGCCGCCAAGAGGCTCTATCGGAACCTCTCTGGAAAATTCCGAGTGAATTACATGTCATTTGATGAAGGAAGCTTAGCAGGGAGGAATGAAAAGGAGAAGCTGCGGAAGTCTTACCTTGTAAGTATGCTGTATTGCAATACGGGTTTGTATTATCCCCCTTTTTCTTGCACATGGCAGTGCAGGGCAAAGGGGATCAACCCCACATTACCCTTCCGTTGCTCCAGCAGACAGCCATGGAGTTCCAGAAAGCATATGCATATTTTATAGAAATCCATTTGGTATGTGTATTTATAGAATTCTTACATTTACGTGTTTTAACTATGCTGTAACCCACCTTGAGTCACAGGGACATGACAAAGAAAGGTCTTAATTTGCTTGGAAAAGGCCACAAAGAGAGAAAAAGCTACTTACTTGTAACAAGATTTTGACTACTCACTTATTCATTGCTGCTTCACGGATCTGGAGTGCCAGAATGTATTACTTGAGCCATCCCTTCTTCTTAGCTCCTGAATAAATACCCTTTCAGCATTAGTACCTGGCAACTATCAAAGGAGAATTGAGTTTATTAGTTCTTTTACACAAATAACCTTCGCAAACTCCATCCCATAAGACAAAGGGTTACTCATCATTATGACTTTTACTGTGGAAGAAGCTCACTGTCATTTTGAAAGATAGCTATTGTGTAGTGATGCTGTGGCAGAATGAGGAGCAACCGTTTTGAGTAGTAGCATGTTTCCTGGTTTGTCTAGCAAATTCACCAGGATGGACTTAGCTGTTAGACTGAAAATGTGTCCTGTGTGGAACTGTTCCTCACTTGGTAAATTATAAATACAATTAGTTTGGCTTCAATCGCAAGCTGGGAAGCCATCATGCTGGCTTCTCCAAGTGTCAGCTTTTACGCCAGTCTCCTCAGGCCTTGTTTTTAGCATGCTATTTTGACCTTGTGCATATAGAGAGAGAATGGGGAGGTTGAATCTTGAGATATCTGCGACATGTTTGTGTAACCTTGCTCCCTTTCTGCAGTTCCAGGGCAATGCTGCTCTCTTTGAGGCTGTCGAGCTGCAGGACCTTGATAAAGTGCAAGAGCTGCTCCGGCAGTATAGCCTTGAAGAGCTGGACCTCAACACTCCAAACAGTGAGGGTCTTCTGCCACTGGACATTGCCATCATGACCAACAATTCACCCATCGCCAAAATACTGCTGCTGGCCGGAGCCAAGGAAAGCCCTCACTGTAAGCCAGCATTCAGTTACCATACAGTATAACTCATGTTGCCCTCTTGTAGACTGTTATTTTTGGTTGCTTAATTACTACTGTTGTTGATGTTGTTGTTGTTTTGTTGCATTATTATTATTATTATTATTACTACTATTATTATTTATATACCACATTTTCTCTCCAAAAACGGGACTCAAGGAACCCTGGACATCATTGTTTCCCAATAACTATGGAAAACTGCTGTTTTTCTAGTGAAGAGCATCAGTATCCTCCTAATGTTGGGCTGCAACTCCCATTAGCTTTAGACAGTATCACTTTAAACACCATTGAAGTTGCATGTCAATAGCAGGGAAGCACAGCTCCTCGACATTGACCTAAATTGAGTTAGCTATGTGAAAGGGGCTGTAAAGAACAAGAAATGGAATTGCCAGGGCTTGGTTTGTTCATGCATTTTTCATGGTTGCAGTGCATAATTCTATATAGGAGAAAACAAACACATTTTAGGGAGGAAATGTTGAAGAAACTGAGAACGTTCACAGAGGAATCTATAATTGTAGGAAACAATGCTAACGGTGTAATGAACATGGTGACTGTATGATGCATAGAGCTGATTCAGGTTAACACAGACCAAGGCCAATTAACACATCCTTGAACCATGTTAACAGAAAGTCACATGTTGCTCCAAATTTTCCCAGAGAATCCAGAGCAAACGGTGACTTTGGGCCCATGTAAACAGTTAGACCATCCCATATTCTCTGGGTTCAAGCAGCAGGAAAGTAGTGATATCGAGTTCTTTTGTGGGGGTCTCCCAGCGGGAGAGATCCCTGAAGACCGCTAAAGGGGTCCTTTGACCTCGGTGAGCAGCCAGCGAAAGCCAATCCAAAGAACGAAAAATATTAAAAATTAATCTCACCGGAGGCTGAAGAGGTTCAGTGACCGAGGCGTTTATTTCTGCGATTCAGCTGAAAAGGATGCGATTGCAGTGATCATTCACATACAAGCATGCATCTACAGCATTTTTATAGCGTACAGACAAAGGAAACATTTTCAAAAATCCCGCCCGCCCTCTGCCGGCCGGCTTCGCTCTGATTGGCTGGCCGTGGAACAGCTGGGAGGAGGCTTGGCGGCGCGCCTCGCCTCCTGTCCAATCAGTGGGCCCTGCTGTCTTCAGGGGGCCAATCAGCGCCTTCCTAGCGCCTCCGAAGATGGTCCAATCGGCAGCCAGGAGGCGGGACGAAGTTTGACAGTTCAGAGGAAATGATGAGCCCAGGGGGCATCCGCAAGCTGAAATGCGAGGCTTTTGTCCTCACCGGCGGGGTGACAGATAGGGGAACAATGAGTTTCCTGGTTTATGATTGGATTTGGGAGGAAGTATGAAAAGGAGCTTTTGATGGTATTTGGACCTCAGGGCCTTGTAAACAAGGGGGATCAACAAATACCTAAAAATGAGTCAATCAGTCTTTTCTTCCTAAGTTTCTGTTGACCCTTCCCTGCCTTACTGTCTGCTCTGAAAGTTAGCAAGGAGAAGGGATCAACTGCACGGCCCATGCAAATGTAAATATGAACCATTTCGGGAGGACAAAGGGTTTCCTCCCTGTCACAGTAATCCTTAGGTCACATTCCTTTTGGGGCAAGGGTCAAAGAGGAGAAGCAGGGGGGGGGACCAGAGTACATTTCTTATAATATTTCATTACATACATTTCATATATTTTCCACATTTCATGAGGCAGTCCCATCCCCATCCCCGGCGAAAGTTTATTAATAAAAATATTCAGTCATTTATTATTGAAAGAAATTCATGGTCTCCTGGTGAAGGCACACGGAAGCGGAGGCTGCTTGCGAATCGGAGCAAGCCTGATCTGAGGGTTTGCGTCCAAAAATGTGGCAGAAAACAGTCCGGGATGTGGAGCAGAAAGTCAATAGGAGAGGGCAAATAAGAGAGTCCAAGGAAGGTTTCCGGGTTGTGATTGGTGGAGCAATGTCCTTTGGGAAACTACATTTCCCTGATCAGAGGCCGGGACCCATGCCTGGCCGCCTTCCCGGGACCCCTACGGGTGGCCGCAGTGGGTCCCTGGCTGTTGGACCCAAGCGGGAGCGAGCGCTGCCAAGAAGAAGCGAAAAGCCTGGCCAGTTTGACAATCAGCTGTTTCTCTGCAAGATAAAATACTTAAAACAAAACTAATTTTTCCCCGGGTGAAGGGGCCCAAAACGAGAAAAGGGAGACAGCGGTTAGTCTTAAAATTAGTTGTAGAAAAATATAAAATTGGAACGGCGGCGATCCGCCATTTTATGTATTTTCGTGGATAAGGGGGTCTGAAATGGCGGTTTCCGTATCCGCGGTCTAGGCGAACGCAGATTCGGGGTCCGGGGGGCGCCTGGAGGCGCCTCCCGCGGGCTCACGGCTCTCCGGAGCCCAAAAAAAGGTCTATTGCAATGTTATTTTGTTTGAGTCAAGAAAGGATACAAAAGTAGCATGCGGAAAGATAAAAAGTTGCAAGTTTCAAGTACTTTTATTAGGGAAAGGATACAAAGTAAAGGGAAAGGGGAAAGCAAGGTGAAACTGCAAGCATTCCTGGTTTTGAGCTGGCTGCTGGGGCACATTTCATCTGTTGGTCCCAAAAGCTTGATCCAGGAACTGCGGAACTCTCCGCTGCAGTTCACACCAATGTGAAGGCGGGGCTCCCCGCTGCGCTCGGGCTCAGTAGTAATGTTCATTATTTGTTGTCTCAAGTGACACTAGCTAGTGAGACAAGGCGTTTGCAGAAGGAAATGGCAAAAGGAGGAAGCGGTCCCTCATTCCCCATCTCCACACCTTTGCATCACTTCGTCCCTCTGGTTATTGAGACTGCAAGCTCCAAGAGGTGGCTCGTGCCATTTTTGTGCAGAGTGGACACCACAAAGCCTAGATCAAGTGAGGAGAAGTGAGGTTGGCAGTCTGGCAACGCCAAACTGGTTCTGGTGCAGTAGAGACACCATCCAGCTGCCATCCTCTTCTGTTTCTCCTCTCCCTTCCCTGCCTCTCTCTTTACTCCTCAGGCACATGCTACCAAGAGCTCCACCTTATACAGTTATGCTATGGTGCTTGCTATGTAGCCCACAGAGAGAGTAGCTAATCATACGCCTATCTGGCAGTGTGAATAATGATGGATTTCAGAGAAAGGAGGTAGAAACTCTGAAAAAAGTCTCTCTCGCTTCGCTGTGTCAGTAAGCCAAATAATTCAATTGAAGAAAACGTATGCATTCTGATCTGAATTGGGTCTTCTCTTCTTGTTCTTGACTAATGGAGGATGGTAAAAGAAAAGTACCCGCAATAGCAGTTTGCACACATTTCCTTCCAGCTATGCTATATTTTACATAAGCTATTTCTCAGTTGGCAGCAACGCAACACAACTTGGAAATCTGATTTCATGATGGAACCCCATGCCAGGTGTATTTGTGTGTGAGGATAATCCAAAGTCTAAGGTCATCTGGTGCAATGAGTAGTTGGCCTTCTCACTCTGAAAAGAACCCATAAAAGAGCAGCTCTAGAGTTTTATCTGATGACATGAATGATAGTTGGGCAAAATGCTTTATCCCATATTGCTTGGGAAGTAGAGACCAGGCTATGCTCGAGGCATGGCTTAGCACAGATAATTTCCTGGGGAGCACCAGCTTTGGCAGCTATATTGTTCCCCTTTTTGTGCTGCTTCTTAACCCTTTCACTCTCTTCTTGCCTTTCTGTAAAGTTTTGAGTCTGGAAAGCCGATCTTTGCACCTCTCCACACTCGTCCAGGAAGCAGAACAGCGGGTCAATGAACTCACAGCACAGGTTGTGAATGAGGTCCCCAATGCAGACTGCTCAGAGAAAGAAAAACAGCTGAAAGCCTGGGAGTGGCGCTATCGGCTTTACAAGCGCATGACTGCGGGCTTTGAACATGCATGTAAGCATTTGGTGGAGCAAGGGGATTCACCCCTACAGCCAAGGAGATCAGGAATGGTGTCTGCATGCTGTTGGGATGTGGAATGGGACTCTTGATCTGGCATTATTATTTCAGAATAGAAGCTTCAAAGTGGCCTTCTCCATGCTCTTGTTCAAGCACTTTGGAAAACATCTAAATGGATTGGCCCCCCTATAATGTTGCCAGCACATGTGGGAATGTAACTTTACAACAGTACTAATAAGTTTGGGGTCGAGGTTCAGTGATAGCACCTTGCCTTGCACTACCCTTATGAGCCCTTTTATTGTGCAGACATTTAAAACTGTATCTTTCCCAAGTCCGGTTCTGTGAATTGATATAAATAAATGTGCCATACAATCCATGGCAAGCAACATACTTTACAAACTGCACAATGACAAAGGTTGGTCATCATTAGTGTATTCCATACAAAACATCGAAGGGATTCAGATGCTGCAGGTAAAAACAACTGCTAATTGAGATCATGGAGTTCCACACAATCTCTGTTATTGTAACCCTAAATATATTAGCCACAGTGAGTTGACTAATATATTTAGGATTGATATAACACATTTATTTACATCAAAGTCAATCCTGCTGCTAAGTTTCTCCAAAGGAAACATTTTAAAACAAAATTGCAAACTTGCCTGATATTGTATTCCTAGGGAAGTTTTAAAATATAGTATCCTAAATGGTCATGAATTACAAAGGGTCTTCTTATTTAATGTTGTACCCTGTCTTAAGCCACGAGGAGAGGCAGGTAACAAATAATTTTATTGTTGTTATTGTTGTGCTGTTTTTATTATTATTCATGGTCCATTTATGGCCAAGACTCTCCCTTTGGACATTTACCAGAGAGGGTTACAAGTTGGCTAAAACCATAAGAATTATGGGTCTAATTATGGTATTATACCTTGGAAGACTGGTTGGATTGGAATGTTTTTTATATGTTTTCCCTATCTACCGATCCAGCATGCCTCTTCTGCTGGAAACATGTAGACATAACCTATCTCTCTTCCCAGAAAGATTAAAAAATCCTCCCTCGTGTCAAAAAAAATCTCCATCCCTCCCTGTAATCACTCTGCCAGAGCTCCTGGTAGCGCAATGGGTTAAACCCTTGTGCCGGCAGGACTGCTGACCGACAGGTGAGCGGTTCGAATCCGGGGAGAGTGAGTTGAGCTCCCTGTCAGCACCAGTTCCCCATGCAGAGACATGAGAGAAGCCTCCCACAAAGATGGTAAAACATAAAACATTTGAGCATCCCCTGGGCAATGTCCTCTCACACCAGAAGTGACTTGCAGTTTCTCAAGTCACTCCTGACATGAAAAAAAAAGTTCTGCCTGGCAGCAGAGGGCCAGCCGGTGAGTCTTCTGTTCCTTCCCTGCTGACATCCGCACTGCCTCTTTTCAGGCGTTCCCGATCCGCCCACCAACATTCACCTCTCTGTGGCCAGTAGCACATCTGTGGAAGTTTCTTTTCAGGAACCCCTCAGTGTCAACTCAGCAGTTGTCACCAAATACAAAGGTAAGCTCATTGGTTGTTCAAGGTCTGACGACAAGGAGGAGGATGTTTATTTATAAACTGCTTTTTCTCCCCACAAAGGAGACTTCAGTGAATGAAAATGTTTCTCCCTCTGTAATGGACCTTGTTGAATTGGAAATTGTATCCTTGTGCATTCTTTGGACTTTGTGCTTTAACTTTCTAAGATCAATTTTTGTGAATTCCTTAATCATTTAGAAGGGAAGGTCTAAAACAAAGCAAGCCATTGACTTCAACACCCTCATCTTGTGCTCCTCGCCACCTTTTTTCTTTTAAAAAGTATTTCTTTGTCTAAGTATCTATGTTGACCAAAATGCTTCTCCATGGCCTCTGTGGGGAAGGGTTGGGCTTTTGACTGAAGTTTTCCCCCTCCACTCAAAAAAAAAAAACAAAACAAAAAAAACAGTGTTTTTCCTCAAAGAAATTTGGAGGGTGCTAGGAGTTTCCAAATGGTCCTGGGATTACTCTTTCCACATATTTGGTCAATATGGTCAATCATTTCCTTGGCTACTCAACTGTAATATAGAAAATGGAATCTGTTCGGCACGGATTGGAAGGTAGACATTAGTCACTGAATCAGATTGCTTTCCTTTTTTTTTTACCCTCAATCTTCCTTTTCTATCACATTTCTCAGATTGAAAGCATGTATCTTCTGTTTGCATTTGTGGAGTTTGTTTCCAAAAGGTACCAAACCCCACGCAAATTGAAAAATGACATATAAGTGGCAGCACATTGGGGGCTGGGAGTAGAAAAAAGTGAACAGACTGAAACTATCAAAAGGTATCATATCACTTCAATAGCAGGCTTGGAAAATTGCATTTTATAGAATTGGGTTTTGAAAAACATGGCTTGTTGTGGAAACAAGGATTGGTGATGAAGCTTCATTGGAGACCCCTTTTCCCCTGAGAATAACTCTTTCCGGAGTGGATTTCCCTTCCTTCCGAAGGGAGATCTCTCTCACTTCCTGTCATCTCAGCCATGTTCTTAAACATGGATCATTTGTAAGATGGATGTTTGTAACTCGGGGATTGCCTGCATTGTGGGAATTTGGTGGAAAGTGCCACATAATATGAGAGGGAAAGCCGTGGCCATAATTGATCTGGCGGACCCATGCAAAGCAAGGCTCTTCTGTACCAGATACAGAGGGCTGACTGCTGTGTTTCTATCCAATCTTCAAGCTTGTTTGGATCCCATAAAAGCATGCTCCTGTTTTAGCTTTAGCACCTGCTCCTTCAACACAGATTTCCCATCAGTTTAAATCCTGTGTGTCCTGTCATCATAACTTTGGCTTTCCGAAGGATTTTCCTTTACCACCGAATCCTGCCACTTAATCTTCTCTCTCTTTTGTTGTGGTCCATCTGTTGCTCTCTCTCCTCTTTTTATCTCTGGGCACATCGCTCTGTCTCTTCCTTTGGCTTCAGCTCTGTTTCTGTTGTCTCCTCGGCTGAAGAAATCCTAGCTAGAGAGCCTTTGCTTTTGCAGAATGGCTTGCGGCTCATGTGCTGTGCATTCTCCACTTGGGAACGGGACTTCTTCGAACCAAAGAGCGGTGGGCCCTGCTACAGTTCTCCCTTTCAGGTCACGCTCCCTCTCCCCCGATTTCTTCCATGCTGTATTTGCAAACATTTCCCCTGAATGCACAGCTGGCCTTGCTGTCGCTGGCTTCTTCTGTTTCACAGTCAATCCCCTCGCAGCAGCAGCAGCTGTCCCATCCTTGGCAGCCCAGCTCTCTAATCTGGCCCCGCTTCCCCTGCCAAGCGCTCCATCTTTCACCTTCATGGTGAAAAGCTCCCAATTACGGTGTCTTTTCCCTTCTTTTGCAGTTGAGTGGAGCTGCTCGCCCACCTTTTCACCGCTGCTAGGTGAAGTAGTGATCGACAAGCTGAAAAGCCTGCAAGCCACCATCTCTGGCCTGGCCTCGGTAAGTGGGTTCTTGCACTTGTACCGAGCCACAAGGCACCTTCAGGGCATGGCCTCAGCTGACCTTCTACCCCGCTGTTTCGCTCCCACCTCCAAATGCAAGGCCTCTCTAGAGTGACCCTCCGCCAAGCATGCAAAGGTTGAGGTCAAGGCTCTGCACACCTTTCAGGCTTATGGCTGCTTCATGGTCCCTGAGGCTGTTGGATGCTCAGACTATAATTTTGAAGGAAAAAAAAAAGGTACAATTCCGTATGCAGGCAGCACATATCTTATCTGTAGTGCAAACAAACACAAAAAGGAACAATACAGTATTTGAAATGAAGAAAAACTTTAACCCACATTAATCTAACAGCATTTCAATCGGAAGTGTGGGCCTGTCTTTGGCTAATGAAAGAGTCAATTCTCAGTTTCATACTTGTCACTGCCAGTCAGAACAAGTGATGCAAGTGTGCCAGTTTTTCTTTTCCTTGACATAATTGTTTTCAATGGACAGACAGGTAGATGTGTTTATTGGTTAGTCCACTGACCATAGCAACACAAAAGACAAAAACAAAAATACACAGACAACTAGTCACTCATCACTATCCTAAAAGTCCTGTCATAGTTAACTAAAATAAATTAAGACATAGTAAAACTTGATTAAATAATAAGTTTGGTAAAATTGAACTAAATTACAAAATGAAAGCAGTGGGAGTAGAGTGACAAGTGTGAAATAATCGATTGGAGAATTTAGGTAATAATAGTAGTAATGATAATAATAATAATAATATCAACAACTTTATTTGTATCTTGCTACCATCTCCCAAAAGGACACCTGATGGCTTACAGAACAGGACATAATAGAGCCATAATACACATAAAATACAGTTAAAATTACATCCACATGTTAAACAATAACAATATCAGTTAACATAAAACAACATATTACAAAAATAAAAGGCATAAGTATGTCGCCAAGACAAGGGACCCTGTTTGGTGAGATAAAGAGATATATCCAGTGGGTGGCTTTTATAATAGTAGATTTGGCTCTGCAGTGGACCGAGTGCAGATTCTCTCCAGAAAGAAAACAGGACAGCTTAACAATGGGATCCCAGTTGGTTGTTCTGACCAAAAGTGGTTGTAGATACTGGGATCTCACTTTGGCGTATAAACTAAATCTGCACCATGACCTCTATGGCTGGAGCGCCACAGATGCAGGTTATTTCATGATGAGGATTTTTTTAATGGTTCTGTTCTTACTTTGTTACGTGGAATCTAGTCAGAAATCAATCTGCATGAACTGAATGCTCCAAAATCTGTACAATCATCTCAGTTCTTCTAGAGGTCATTGGGAGATTTAGACTGGGTCCTTATGAGTTGAAGAAGTAGTTTGCAAGATAGTGTTGATCTGCACAGCTTTAGGTCACTATGAGCCACAGGTCATGTTGCATCACACCTTTCTTAGCTTCTTTTCAGTAATAATAACATATTATAGATAATTATATTATGAGAAAGGAAAACTTGAACCTGCCCTTTACCCTGTGTGTTTGCTGAGCTATAGACTGTTGTGTGCATCCAATTATGCTTTCCTTCCTTGTGTTTTCTCCATAGGGTACCTCTTATTATGTTCAAGTGTCTGCGTATAACATGAAAGGCTGGGGACCTCCACAACGATCCACGCCCCCTTTTGCTGTTCCCTCAAGTAAGTGAATATAGTGAAAAGGGAAAAATGTTCACCCATGCCTCTTTGATACCTTTTTACTAGCTTTTTTACTAGTCAGATACTTATATTCCAGAACTCAGTGGTAGCTAGACTGTATGACTGGTTCCTGTGCGTAGGTGCAGAAGGAAAAAAATAGCGCATTTTCAACCTAGTCAATCCATGGAAAATAAACAGAGGCTGGATGGCCATCTGTCAGGTGTGGTTTGAATGTGATTTTCCTGCTTCTTGGCAAAATGGGGTTGGACTGGATGGCCCACGAGGTCTCTTCCAACTCTGATTCTGATTCTAATGAGGATAAACTCCATTGGAATATTCAGTATCCTTATGTTAGAAAGGCCTATTCAAGAGAGGGGCATTTTAAAATACTATTTCACAGCTATATACTTGGGATTGTGCTGTTGTAGGTGTAATATATATAAAAATGGCTTGCGTATCTGTGCTTCCATTTGATGTTTTTTTATCTGTAATATGGCTTCCAGTTTTCAGGAGCCGTCTCCCATCAAACGTCTTCAATTCCAAATGGCAGGACCTCCATTCCAGTGTTTCCAGTAGTATTTTTGCACCATTTTAGTCTCTTTCAATATAACAAATAATGTATAAATTCACATTCACATGAAACAATAAAAAAGAAAGATCAACTTTAAAAATGGTAGAAGCCCAAAGTTGTAGCAAGGAAGCCCAAAGCATCAAGTGAAGAGGCAGAAGCCTCTTTTTCTTCTTCCTCCTGTCCTTTTTCCAGCCGCTTTCCCTCCCTCTCTTGCTCTCTCTCTCTCTCTATTCAAGAAGCCAAACAGACCAGGAAGAAAAACCACACAAAACCAACTAACTTAAAGTTCCTCAAAGCGGACAAGAGCAAAGCGGACAAAAATCTCTCTCCCAAAGCGGACAAGAGCTCAAGGCCCAGAGGCTGCTCTTTTGAAGCCCTATTCTCTGACGCTCACTCTTAACTCAAAACACTACTCGTATGTCAAAGGGAAACCAGACTGGCTGACAACTCTTAACCTCAAGCACTCTTAAGTTGGGACACTCTTGAGTCGAGGTTCCACTGTATTGTACTAGTGGAGCCATACAGCCCTAAGCGGCTGCCCCATGGTTGTTATTAAAATGTGGGGGGGGGGGGGTGGCCTTTAATTCTCCTCTACTGTCTGCCACATTTAGCAGATTCTATGCAGTTTAAGAGTAGGAAACCATTGTGACCACACTGGAGGCCAATGCAGAGGGCTGAGCTTGGTGAGCCATGTGCCCTTCAGCACGAGGCTGCAAAAATACTGCATGTAACTGGAGTTAGAAAATAAATTATTGCTCACTTTCACATTTTCGAGGAAAATATTTCTCCCCCTAAATAAAAAATAACCAACTTTTGTCACGTAAAATTGTGAGGCACCTCCCTGGGTGTTTTTAAAATCACCTAAAAATAGTGCCAGGCTTCGGCCAAAATTAACAGAACGGATCTTTCCATGGAAAACAGCAGCGTGGGGGAGTGTATAAACCAATTAATGTAAAGCTCATGTAAAAGAGCTGTGCCCCGCACACTCACTGGGGCTGTTAAGTAGCTCTGCCACCTCATAACTAAGGAGCACAGGGAAGAGGTTCTGTTTATTTATTTATCTAGGTGAGTTTTCTTCTTACCATTGGCCTGGAGAAACTTCTGGCTGTTCGACGGCCAGCAGCAGAAGGGAGGCTGTGGAAGTGCCAAGAGCGATCACAGTCCTGGCCTTGTTCGTGGCTGCGGTTCTGTCACCCTTGTCAGCCATTCTCACCCGAGGATACTGCTCTTGGGTTCTCTGTCGTGTAAAGGCTAAACTGGAGTTAATGTCCTCTGTTACCAATCTAGAGGGGGTTATGGGCTGTGTGTATTACTGTGCTTTTGATGCTCAGGTTCGCAAGCAGAGTCAACAAAAAGAATTCAGCATCTTGAGAATCCCAGCATTTCATTCTTTTTTAAATTGTCAATTTTTTAGCTCTGGATATTTGCTTCTGAATGTTGATACTTGGGTAAATCTTAGGGCCGTTCTACACTGCTATATAATCCAGATTGTCAAAGCATATATTTATTTATTTATTTATTTATTTATTTATTTATATCCCACTTTTCTCCAATGGGAACTCAAAGCGGTGAACAATTACATAACACGAAAGCAAAAATTAAACAAATAACACATAACACATTATGTAATCTACATTATCTGTTTTGAACTGGACTATATGAGTCTACACTGCCAGATAATCCAGTTCAAAACAGATAATCTGGATTTTGTATGGCAGTATAGAAGGGGCCTTAGTCTAAGACAATTAGCATCTGTCTTTACCAAGCTAATATAGTTTAAACATCAAACTACACTATGGGACTGACAGTATTTACTCTGGGTTGGTGTGATGTTTTTTTGGGGGGTGGAGGTGGGGTATGGGCATGTTCCAATAGCATTTTCTCCTGAAGTTTCACCTGCAACTGTGGCAAACTTACTCAGAGGTTTGTTCAGAGGTCTGTTGGAAATGAGGCAAGTGGAGTGTATATATCTGTGAAGTGTCCAAAGTAGAAGAAAGAACCCTGTCTGAAGCAAGTGTGAATGTTGCAATTTGCTAAACAAGCTTGCTAGTGGCAACATTCACACTTGCTTCAAACAGGCAGGGTTCTTTCTCCTACTTTGGACACTCCACAGATATATATACACTCCACTTGCCTCATCTCCAACAGACCTCTGAAGATGACAGTAACCACAGACACAGGCAAAACATCAAGAAAGACTGCAACTGGAGCATAGCCATACAGCCCAAAAAACTCACAGCAACCCAACCTAGTGATTCCGGCCATGAAAGCCTTCAACAACACTGTATTTACTCTTTAAACTTGGCTTTTTCTCTCTTTGGTCTCCTTCTTCTCAGTGCCCTACTTTCATGGCTATCTATCTAAAGGAAAACAATGAAAATGGTAGTAGAAGTGGAATTGTCTATGGGTTAATATTGGGGATTTCCTCCAAACAGTGACATCTGGGCTGCCAACAGTCTTATAGTAATTTTTCAAGTTCTGACTCAGCTTGCCTTCTGATTTGCTTTCATGCCAAAACCATTCCTTCATTTGACCAAGTTTTTAAGAAGAAAATTGCATTGTTCTGAGGCAGAAGAAACATTGTAAAAGATCTGAAGCTTATCCAGTTCTTCACAGGGATAGCAGCTCCTGCTCTATTTATTTGGTCTTCTCTTACTTCAGACTGGAGAGAGTACGATGGACGAGCGCCACGTCGAAGAGGCCAAACAGAAGCCCTGGACCACCTCCTGAACCAGGTGAAAATGGTCCACCAGCACTGTGTTTGCCATGGTGAGTTCCTCTTTGCCAATAGGATACCTGTCTCCGGAAAAGTTCCTTTGGACACCCTTTTCTACTATAGCTGCCCTTCCTTAGTCAGATTTAAATTTGTCATTTAAAAAAATCATCCTCATTTAAATTTTGAGCCATATATAAATGGGGAATTTTCACCACTTCCCCTATGCATTTTAGTGGATTAGACAGAAATAACAAAATATTGTTGGTAAATAAATTGATCTCATGGTCCATCTTTCCGATCTTTATTCCCTGGATCTAGATATTTCTTCTTATTTGCTCTGCAAATTGCTCAAAAACCTAGGACAAGGCATGGTGGGGGGACAATGAACCAAGAAGAAAGTAGGGAACACATTCCTTGATTTTAACTGATGAGCTAGAGATTGTGCCTTTTTAGGGTCATACAACTCAACATTTACAGAGCAAAGGGGCTGTAGTCTGGATACATTTAATTATTTCAATTGGCATACTCTGCTTCATATCTCACCCTGCATCATAGCTACTACCATAGTGCAAACTTCTTCAGAATTCTGATTTTATATTCCAGGGTTGGGATGGCTGGTAGACATACCATATATATGGATTGTATAATGACTTCTTGTGTGCTCTCTATTTTACTTCTTAGAGCCTTTTAAGAATCAGCCACAGAGCAGAAAACATTCTGTCTCCAAGAGCCTGAAGTATCTTTTCCATCCTGGCAGCAAATTCTTAAAGACATTGAAAAGGTAAGTGGATGGTTGGGATCACTTGCCTTCCATGCATGTATCACTTCTGCATTCTTCACAAATGTGGAGTGACTTCCATCCTTCCAGTTCTGTATTGCTAAGGTACTCCAGGTGGGGAACTGTCTCAGTCTACTTCTCCTCTCATTCCCAATGTGATAGACAGGATCCTAAATGAAACCTTTCCATTCCTCCCAGGGGCCTGTACCTGGCATCAATATTCTACAAGGATGACAACCTATTGGTGACACACGAGGATCAGATCCCTGTCGTGGAGATAGATGACACTTACTCCTGTCTGCTCATGCAGGACTTCCTCTGGTTCACCAAGGTGATTCCTTAGAATGATGGATTTACCGTATCTCACACTAGACTAATTGTTTAGACACAGCTTTCTCAGAAAGATATGGGAAATTTCAGCACTTGCAACAAGACTTTCCTGCTCAATTAACATTTGTAGACACAAAATCTCACCACCTTCACTCATGCCTTAGGCTGTTAATTTGATGTTGCTTCTCAAAACAGTCTTGGTGCAAAAGTGTAATTTTATATTCTGTGATTTAAAAAATCACTGTTATTTGAGTATCTCATAGGAAAATATACCATGAAATTAAATATGAAGTCGCTTCATAAGTTGTTCTAGGCTACTGAAACAAGCCCCTTTGAATCTTCCCATTTATAGTAAATGTTTCCTTTAAAAAATTGCAACTTTAATGCAGAAGATTAAAATGGAGTGACATCCAATGCTGAGCATGCCAAACTAAGACTTGCCAGCTATTTCTAGTCAAGAGTTGCAAATGATTGTCAGCGAAGAGAGAAACCTATTTCCTGCATTAATTTTAGAAGATGTTGATTTTGGGTCAGGTCTTGGTGTACTGCAGACTAGGGAGACTGAGTATCCTCAAATAATTTGCATTGCTATGTTGGCGCAGGTGTCGTGCATGTGGGATGAAATCCTGTGGTTGCGGCAGTGCGTCACTGTTTCCCAGTCGTCTTGCTCCTGTGTTTTGCAAACACGCCTCAAGATGTTGCTGGCCATTTCAGAGATGCAGGTAAAATAGATACATACTTTTTCAAATGCCAAGAATGGATTCCTATCCGAACAAGCTACTCTTGGTCAGTGGATATTGAGGCCAGATGTCATTAGCTCTAAGCGTGACTTAGACGAGTCTAGTATTGCCATACACTAAACAACTCCAGCAGCCAGTTTGGCACTGACAACGTAAGAAGGTGTATCTTTCATGAGGAAAGCACAAGGCAGGTGTGGTTCTCGCACAAGCAATTGGTATAGGAAGGATGACGTCTAGAGCAGAGACATTATGAAGCCATTCTTGTATTTATTCTTTATTATAATTTTTATTCCTGCTTTTTCTCTCTAAGAGACTCAAAGCAGCTTACAGTAAAACCAATACAGTAGAATTTAAAACCTAAAAATATAGAAACATTAAAACAAAATTAAATATTAATAGCATTAAAAAATAAACAGCGTAAACCCTTCAAACTGATTAAGAGATTCTTGCAACATCTCTCTGGTGCAGCGTAGGGAGCAAAATGTGTTCCTTGTTTAAGCAGTAATGGATTAACCAAAAATCAGTAAGTCATATATTTAATTGTAAATGAGGTATAATATATGTCAATTAACTGGAAGAAATATTGTTATTATTATTATTATTTTATTTATATCCTGCTTTTCTCCCCTATTGGGAATTCATAGTGGCTAACAACAAGGTATAAAACATACAGGTATATTAGGACAAAAAGGAAACAGACGTAGTCAATAATAGCAATTAAAACATAGTAAGACAGATTAGAATGCAATTAGCATCTTAGGTATAGTTAAAAACTAAACAAACATAAACCGAAGCCATTCTCCTTCCAATTGTCATAAGGTATTGCACAGAAAGGTTCAGCCCCAGATGTTACTATTCCACCGATCACTCTTGTATTAATCTTCAATAAAAGTCTGATTCAAGAGAAAAGTTTTTATCTGATGCCTGAAGGTTAGTAGGGAGGGGCCAGAACAATGGAGCATCTACCGAAAAGGCTATCTCTCTCATTCCCACAAATTGTATTTGCAACAGTGGTAGGACCGAGAGAAGGGTCTCAGAGTTGATCTCAGAGTTTGTTGATTCTTTTATATCAGAAAAATGTCCTTCAGTGAGAAAAAGTATGTTGGTCCCAAAAGAAAACATAGGTATACTCTACACTGCTGCCTGAAAACAAATAGAAATTCTTTAGCAACAATTTTAATGAAAGGCCCTTGAAGAAAACAATCATGTAAAATATTCAGGAATGATCAGCACTGGTTCTGTTGGGATTGTCGGAACCCATTGCGACTGTTATCATTGCTGATTCCTAATGTCTGATAGCTGAAGATATATATCGCCTGAAGACATGCTCCAGAAATGAGACTCCTTTTCTTCTCTTTCTTTCTTTGAAAGGGCCTGCTGGGGATCCAGGACCTGGGGCAGGTCTTTTTTGAGCCCATCAAAGACAAGCAGGGCAACATTGTGATTGTGACCCTCAAGGAGGTGAAGACCAGCCAAACCTTTGAAAGTGTCCGCTGGGTCCCTCTCTCCAAACTGCAAACCAACCGCAAGTCCCTCTCCTCCCCGGAAGAGCCCACCGCCTTGGATCTGCTGTGCATGACCATGCAGGTGCCAGGCTCTCAATCCTCCCTAAAGAGGGAAAGCCCTCATTTAGCAGTAGGGGTGGTGGAAGTCCCAGCTTTCTTTGGGAACACTTCAACTGGGATTGCTCTAAACTGAAAGGGTTTCATGACTCCGAAAGAAGGAAGGTCCACTACTTTGTCGAGTAGTCTCTTCTACTATTGAATAGCTTTTCCCTTAAGGAAGTATCTCATAATGTAGAATCTCATTTTCTTGCAATTTGAATCATTTGCTTCATGTGCTAGTCTCTGAAGTGCAGAAAAACAACCCAGGTCCATCTCCTTAATAGCACTCCTTCAGATTTTTTAATATGTCTGTTATGTCACCTTTCAGACTTGCTTTTGCCAAACTAAACACAGCCAGTTGCTGACTGTTCCTCATAAGGCTGGTTTCAAGTACGTTTATCACCTTGATCATGCCCTTGAGCTATTGCTATTGGAAAAGTAGAAGTCTTACTTCCCAAACAAGAACAGATGAGGCTGGTCATCCATCACAGTTGTATTTTCTTTTTAATGCAACCCAGGCCAGGGACAGTTGTCAGCTAAAATAGAATATTTATAGAGTTGTTGATCATAAAGATTAATAAAAATAAGGAAGGAGATGAGGGTTTAGCAAAAACCAGGTGGGATGAGGCACGTCTTAAAAAGGTTTGCAACTGAATGCAATTGAGCAATGACTGCTGCCTCTGATTTGGGGAAACTATTGCTAGACAGAGTAGACAGTGCTGAGTAAAATCAAGCAAACATCTGTCAGCGCATGGCTGTCATGAATATTGTTCCTTTGCACATTCCTTGCTTTGCACATGGATTCTGGTGATATTTAGGTATGTTTGCAGGCCTCAAAGTTGAGCTCCTGCCAATTGAACCAAGACAAGTTGTGTTTCGCAGTCTTATATTCTTTGTTGCCTACCTTTCATTCAGGCTGTTTGACACTGCAGAGAACAAAAACCTGGTTGTCAACCGATGTCCGCTTCCCTATGTCAAATTCGTATAGCTCTTTCTGTATAGCTTTTTCTGCTCATTGATGCTTCTGGTTTGCAGGAGCACTTGTTTGTTTCCCAGCTTGTCAGGAGGTCTGAGCAAAGGCTCCTTCCGCAGGGCCCAGCCTTCCCTCCTCTCCTTGACCTTTCTCCTTGTTCCTCCCTCCTTTCGCTTCCTTTCAGCTAACGGAGTGCCTCCAGCAACAAAAGGCACTCAAGCACCTGTACAAGGGGCTATTGAAACTGCTTATTCAAAGCTATTGCCAGGATTAGCAAAGGCCAAACCACGAAAGGGCCAGTTCAACGCAGCCTCTGTTCCTGGAGATTGCAGCATCCAGCCTGGATATCGGACAACAACAGTCTCCTTTGTGAAGCTTCCGGTGCCTCCTGCCCGTGCCAGTCTGTCTCCTGGGGCTTTTGCTCCTGGGTGGAACCTAGAAGCTGCAGACAGAAATAGCGGCACAGAGATTTTAATGGAAGCTGCACAGTGGAAACAGGGATCAGTTTGATCTGTTTCCTGCTTTTTTCTTTTTATCCCACCCGTGTTTCACCCATCCTCTCTTCCATATCCCAAAAAGGAACCAAAAGATAAAAGGAAATTTGAAAAGAACTGCAAAAAACTATCAGCAAAGATTAAATATGTAATATTGCAAATAACAAAGAACACATAGAATCAATTGCAAAATTACAACAGCATACAAGCAGTACAATGACACATCCAACCATTATGTGGAGTTTAATCGAAGTGTCATTCTAAGGATTATTGCTCTTGTAGTCTTACCTGTTGAATAGTGTTTACCTAGTATTATTTTGTAACACATCACCATAATTTGTTTTGTACTGTATCACTGTATTATCATAATTTATTATGGCTTTATTATTCTTATTGTGATTTTTGGTCTTTACAATATTACTGGTTCATTTACAGTTTGCTTTCCTGGGATATTTTCCCTGTCCGTTTTTCATAGAATCCTAGAGTTGGAAGAGACCTCGTGGGCCATCTAGTCCAACCACATTCTGCCAAGAAGCACGAAAATTGCATTCAATCACCCCCGACAGATGGCCATCCAGCCTCTGTTTAAAAGTCTCCCAAAGAAGGAGCCTCCACCACACTCCAGGGCAAAAAAATTCCTTTGCTGAACAGCTCTCACAGTTAGGAAGTTCTTCCTAATGATCTAGTGGAATCTCCTTTCCTGTAGTTTGAAGCCATTGTTCCATGTCCTAGTTCCCAGGGCAGCAGAAAACAAGCTTGCTCCCTCCTCCCTGTGATTTCCCCTCACATATTTATACATGGCCATCATGTTCCTCTCCGCCTTCTCTTCTGCAGGCTAAACATGCCCAGCTCTTTCAGCCACTGCTCATAGGGCTTGTTCTCCACACCCTTGATAATTTTAGTTGCCCTTTTCTTTTGGTTCTTTTTGTTCCTTCTTGTTCAAACTCTCTTGTACCATATTTTAGTGAATGTAGCTTTGTTTCTTGGACTTCTCTTTCTTTGTTAAAATTTAAGGTCTTTCTAAAGCAAGGTTTACATTTGTGAGGTAGTTATGTGACATTTCTAAGGACATGTTTCCTCCCTTAGGACAAGTTGGCTTATCACCAGCAAAGTGGGCAGGCTCTCCCTGCTGGCCTGTACTTGGGTTATTTGAAGCTCTGCAGTGCGGTTGACCAGATACGGGTTTTGGTGCCCGAACAGCGGCCAAACATCCTCTGCCATGTGAAGATACGAAGCAACCCAAACATCTCCAGGTAGAGATTTTAAACCAGACCTGATGTATCAGTATACTTACATAGATAATAAAGCTAACTTCTGTAACACTCTGTAACATGATTTTTGTCCTTGGATTATAAATGTCATTTTCTATTTGGTTCTATCATAAAATATGGGAAAAGCTTATTCAACTGTAAAAACTTTGTCTCTGTGGGAGGGGGGGGGACATCCTGCAGTAGCACATTTTGCTCTAGTTTTCCAATGAATATCTCATTATCAAGTCTCAACCAATTCAATGTACTTTGTGGCAGCCACAAAAACAACTAAGTTTCCAGAGTAGAACTACTTTCAAAGTAAGGACTGCACAATTAAACAGGAAATAACACTTTCAAACCAGTAACAGAAAATGTTTCAAATTGTTACATAGTGATCACCTGTTTTGTTTTCCATTGCTTGTTTTACAAATGTAAAGCCATACATGTGATTGGGATTCCTTGACTATAGCAAAGTAAACAAGGTAAAGAGAAGGCAAGACAGTTGCACAGCTCAACGATAGATTTACCAACAGGTTGGTCACCTGCCCACATCATGGCGATAGGTAGGTAGGTAGGTAGATACTGCTTGACTCTATATTTAAATGTAATAGCTGCTCCAGGAGATGTAACCAAGCTATGTCTTATGGAATTACTGCAGGTTCTTCTGATTTTTGAGCAGGATAGCATAATACTGTACTTACAAATCCACAAACTGATGGCTTTTATAAGAGAATTCCTATTCTCACAATGTTCCGGGCCTAAATGAAGGGTCCTGTGTCCTAAATCCTTCTAAATAAGAATGAAGGTCAGGCATCAAGTCAAGAATGAATAATCACACAACACAAAATGCCCTGCTGATGTTCAACCTTTGGGGGGTGGTTGAAGTATGATATATTTCTTTCATGAAAGGGACATCTATCAAAATACACTAGCAGGTCACAGTTGGCCGTATGCACACTGTCACCTCTGCTTTATGCTACTGCACAGAGTATTCATTCACCCCTTTGCCTCCTTTCCAAGGGAGGAATGGGAATGGCTGCAGAACTTGGCCAGCATGGAGGAGCCCATTCCCAGCGAGCAAGGCCCAGAGCCCATCCAGAATCCCTTGCTTCAAGAACTCAAAGCAGCGGTCAGAGAACTGGTGCAACTGGTCAACATCCCACTTTGTGAGGTAGAGGCTCAGTGGGGTTTATGGGGGATGGTGAAGCGCGGGTGAGGCAGAGCAATGCAGACCTGGTGCAGGTGCATGCGGGTGACATATTTATTTTTTATGTCAGATCAAGAAAAGTATACAAAGGCTCTTCTTTATGAGCAGGAATTGCATAGCCAGGAGTAATCTCAATGTGGAGGAGAGCAAACCACAGACCACTTAACTGCAATGCGGTCTGAGTCCTGCCACATGCACAATGAAGGACCTTCTTACAGTGACACCAGAGGCATCCAAGTGGCTAGCTTCTGGTCAAAGGAAACTTAGTATTGTACTCAGTTTAACTTTGTTTGTGTTTTTTTTTTGTACATTATAACTGTAATCTCAATTCATTCCTGACACGATAAATAAACAAACAAATAAATAAGTCTCAATGGTTGAAACCATTTCTTTTTATAAATATTTTCACAGCAACAGTTACAATTCATGCATCAACAGGTCTCCAGTTTGTAATATATGTATCCACCTCAGACAAGATCTAAAGCTGATCAGTTTTATAGATATAGCCTTAAGCCCCTAGTTTATTCAATATAATTTAACTAGAGAAACCCATTCACTTGGGGTGAATGTTTTGCAAAGTTCTTAACATTTGGTTCTTATTCTACATTAGGAAAAGGGCGATGGTTGTTGCCATGTGCCTTCAAGTCATTTACAACTTCTGGTGATGTTAAAAGCAGCTTATTAGAAAATGTTTATTAGGAAGAGAGGTGACAGAAGTGATGGTGAAGATCAATGCTCTTGCTTACCCCTCCCAACAGAATATTGACTTGCTCAGTAGGTTAAAAAATTCCTTTACATTCAGGGTTGCTTTGCTAGAATCAAGTGACAAGGCCTTTTATAGTGAATGGGAAAAAGTTCAAAGGATGTCCCTAAATATCCCAATCCCAACAAACCACCTTTACAAAAAATGTCAAATTCAGACTACCTTTTTCATGCAACATGGCTCTGTGGTTACCATTTTACGTGAGAATTAGATGAATCTAAGTCAACTAACATTTGAAACAGCTCTAACAATAATGAATTGGGAAGCACATAATGCACCTGAACCCCTTTATGTAGCCAAATAATAGCACTCCCCCCTTCGCATGCAGCAAATTCAAATATCAATCTGGTTTGGAAATTCCACAAACCATTTTTCCATATAGTCCCAGACTTCCCGGGAAAAATCAATCAGACATGTTCAGCCGATTGCTAGGACAAAGATAGGATTCATGCTGCACCAGCTATCCAACATTGCCTTCCTCCTCCTTTCTCCAGGCCAAGGATTTCCGTCTATACAGCCAGGAAGTTCTGGACTTTGGAGAAAATGTTTCCTTCCTTCTGCTCCTGCCTCCCTCGGATGACGTCTGCACTGCACCCGGTCAGAACAACCCATACGTGCCACACTCTGGGTTTCTGACGCTTCCCCTTCAGATCTTTGAGCTAGGTAAGAGCAGCAACCCAAGCATTTTTTGTTGGGAATCTGCACCTATGGCACGGACTGGTGAGAAAACATGTGATGATGATACGCTGATCAGATTCATGAAGCTAATGCCATTAGCAGCAAACACTTCTGTCACCTAAAATAGGGGAAACAATCATTGCTAATTTTTGCTCTGGCTGTTGTTCTACTTTGTATAGCCTGAGTTCTGTTGGCACTGAGCATACATCCTCCTGTGAGAAGGCTCTAAGTGTGATTCTTGGCCTTTCCCCTTTCTTCCAGTCCATTTTTTCACCTACGACCAAGCATTCATTAGCCAGTATTGCCAAGTGTCAGCACTCCTGGAGCTGGAGTCCCTTCTTTCTCAGCAAAGTCTCCGAGAGGCCTTCTCAGACTCAGAAGTCACCATTGCCAAGCAGAGGCACCAGCAAGTGCAGGACTACATGCAGGTATGTCACTGTGCACTTTAAGGGCTGTAATTTGTCTTTTTAATTATATATATATATTAATTATATATATATTTTAATTATATATATATATATATCAATTGTTTATTTGTTTTTTAAGTTATTTTGTGTTTTTTTGTTTTGTTTTGTTTTTTTGCGTTTACTGAAGCTTTTGTAGAGGGTTAATCGGTACTGTTTTTAAGACTGTTTTTAGCCATGCCAAGGCCTCATCTACACTGCCATATAATGCTGTGTTACAATATAGCTTAATATAGCTTAATGGCATTGAACTGGATTATATGGCAGTGTAGACTCATACAATCCAGTTCAATGCAGGTCAATCTGCATTATATGAGTCTGCACTGACAGTTATAATGCAGTTTGAACTGTATTATATGGCAGTATAGATGCAGTCTCAGTCTTGTTATTGAATGAAAGGCAGGATATAAGTAGATGATGATGATAATAATGATGATGATGATGATGATCATGATGACACTATGTAACAAAAATTGAAAAATGTTCTGTTCCTGGTTTGAAAGTGTTATTTCCTGTTTAATTGGGTGGTACTTACTTTGAAAGTTGTTGCGCTAGTCCAGAAACTTCATTGTTTTTGTGGCTGCCGCAAACTTGGTTGAACTGGTTAAGTCTCAGTGATGAGAGATTCATTGAAAAACTGGGGTAAAATGTGCTGCAGGGTGATGTCCCTCCTGTAAAAACAAAGTTGTTGCAGTTTAACACACTTTTCCTATGTTTTTATGACATAACCAACTAGGAAATGACATTTATAACCCAGGAACAACAACCATGTTATTCATTATTATTATCCCCATCGGAGCCCCCGGTGGCGCAGTGGGTCAAACCCCTGTGCTGGCAGGACTGAAGACCGACAGGTCGCAGGTTCGAATCCGGGGAGAGGTGGATAAACTCCCTCTATCAACTCCAGCTCCTCATGCGTGGACATGAGAGAAGCCCCCACAAGGATGATAAAAACATCAAATCATCCTGGCGTCCCCTGGGCCAATTCTCTCACACCAGAAGCGACTTGCAGTTTCTCAAGTCGCTCCTGACACGACAAAAAAAAAATCACCATCAACATCATAAATCTTAATATTATTAATTATTATAATTAATCATCACCATCTTTACATTGGGACAGCAAATGGAGGAGATTTGGAGAGAAATGCGCTGGATGATGGACGCCCTGCAGCATGCCCGGTACAAGCAGCCGTCCTGTGGCATCTCACTCATGCGGTTCATTCAAGAGTCTAGTGTTGCACTGAAAGAGAAAACAGAGTCCACCTCTTCTCACTTGGACTTCCTTCCCTCACCTACTCAGTCTCCTGAAACAAGTCGCAAACTCAACTCTGGTAAGAGATATCTTTTATATGCAAACCATCTCCATCTCTTCCAGGGTTTAGGTCCTTTAATGAAAACCAATAACACTTTCCCCTTGAATAGAATTGTCTGTCACAGTCTTACACATCAGGTACATTTATAGAATCCTAGAATCCTAGAATTAGAAGCCACTCTCAGGGGCCATATAGGCCAACCCCACTCTGCCATGTACAATCAAAGCACCCCCGACAAATGGCCACCCAGCCTCTCTTTCAAAATCTCAATGGAAGGAGCTTCCATCGAACTCCGAGGTGGAAAGTTCCACTGCTTAACAGCTCTCCATGTGGTCAGGAAGTTCTTCCTAATGTTCAGGTGGAATCTCTCCCCCCCCCCCCCCCCGGTAATTTGAACCCATGGCTTCATTGCGCCCTAGTTTCCAGGGCAGCAGTAAGGAAGCCTGCTCCCTCTTCCTTATGATGTCCTTTCACATATTTAAATATGTCTCCTCTCAACCTTCTGTTCTGAGACTCAACAGACCCAGCTCTTTAAACCACTCCTCAGAGGGATCATTCACGGTTTCCAGACCTTTTAGTCACTCCCCCTCTGGACACATCCCAGCTTGTCAATGTCCCTTTTGAACTGTGGTGCCCAGAATTTCAGCATGTTTATATCAGATCTGGAAAGGTCACTTTTTCCCATTGTGGATCACTGAGTCTAAAGGTACTCTCCCCAAATTCTAGTTGATCCTTCAGTGGTTCCATGTTTTAAACTCAAGCCACAGACGAGAAATATTTACCAGATCCCTTTATCATTCCCCTGTTCAGACACAAGCGAGAAGCTGGGGCTTTTCCACAGCTACTCTGAATCTTATCAAATCAGTAACTTAAGAGAAGCCCAGAAATTGTTTTCTAAAAGTGTGCCATTTACACCCAGGCAGCACCCAATAATAGAGAGATATTTCTCTCAAGACCTTCCCTTGTCTCCATCAAGGATGGAAAAGACTAATAACACAGCTCAGCAAAAGAATGTTGGTGTCTTGTTTTTTAGGGAACAAAAATCGTGTGAAAGAGTGTTTTTCTGCTTTGAACCGGATTATATGGCAGTGTAGATCCAGCCTGAGTTAGAGTGTTAGACTAGGATTATTACGGGGGGAAAGGGTTCAACTCACTACTTAGCCATGAAAACCCACCAGATGGCCTCAGACAAGTCCAACCACCAGCCTTAGAAGAAGGCAATGGCAAATCTCCTCCGAATAAATCTTACTAAGGGCCCTTCCACACAGTCCTATATCCCAGAATATCAAGGCAGAAAGTCCCACAATATCTGCTTTGAACTGGGTTATCTGAGTCCACACTCCGATAATGTGGGATTTTCTGCTTTGATATTCTGGGATAAAAGGCTGCGTGGAAGGGCCCTCAGAAAACCTTTTTGAGTTGAAGACACATATTAGCAACTGATTGCCGCAAGGCATAAATATTCATCGATCTGGGCCTGTGAGCAACATTATAAAGGAATGTACCCTGTATGCAAGGATTGCTGTAAGTATTTTCATGTCCTGATTCAACTGTATCATTAACCAGCATTCCAGCAAAATGGAGCCCTATCTACACTACCACATAATGCAGTTTGAAAATGTAACATCATCCTGGGCCTGCAGGTAGCTAGTTCTCACCAATTTATTTGAGGTTTATTTGAGATTAATAATTCATTCATCCTCTAATAAAGATAAAATTAGAATAACCCGAATTCCATCAAAACCAGATACCATGCCTTGTAACTTTTTAATAATTGATGCTATCTCTGCGTCCATAATTAATGAATTAAGGTGATCTTGTAAAGTTCTTATAAATATTTAATCTTAATCAGTTAATTGTGTTATTAAGACTCCATGATTAGATTTCATCGTGTTAACCAAATTCTTATTATTCCACTTCATTTCTACAACACAAGACTGCAGTTCAGAACGTATGCTCCCAAATTCATAATCTGGTCTTTTAATACATATCATAGATGGGTGTGCATTGCGTTCTGCCAAATGTATCTAATCCATTTCTTTTTGGAGATAATTAATTCCATACTCTTTAGCTTCCTGTTATTTTATGTTCTTTTATTAATTTGATAACCATCTGATCTCATTTTTTCTCCGTTCCCAGTTATCTGTGATTCCTTTTAAAGAAAATGTGCTTGTAGGATGGCTTTCAAAAGTCATGGCTGTTGAGTGTATAGAGATCCTTAAGATTTTCCTTTATACTGCACTGAATATTTGTAAGCAGCATCAAGTCCACTCTATTGACCCATATCATCTTTGTAAGCGCACAGTCTGATGATCAGCACAAAATAAATACTTTGCATTTGAGGCTTAATGAGTTATGATATTAGGAAATTGATCAGTTCTTAAATATGGGCTCTCTTCTTAGGAATAGTAAGTAAAGCCCCCATCACATGTGTGTCTAATTATCTCCAATTATCACTCCACATCTTTTGTTAAGTAACTTTGCGATTTGACAACTGAATTATCCTTACTGTCTGCGTGTGTTGCCTGTTTTTCTATCTAACACAAGGTAGAATTCCTTCCAAACAGTTCTATCGTTTATTTAAAACTATTAAAACAAATAAGTATCTATTCTGCCAAATTTCTTTGCCCCTTCCTGTGCATAATATATGAAAATGAACCCTTCCTCATCATTGCATAAACTATTGAGCATTTCAAAGTGACTTTGTTTTTTTATATGCATTAGCACAAAATGTTTTTGTTTTGTTTTGTTTTTTGGTGAAGGTTGGAACTAGTTCCAACAAATTACACTTGGACAATCAAACTATTTATAAATATATGTTCCTATATCATCACATCCTATCCAGGATTTGGAAGGGTTTTGAAGCTATTCTTGGCATTCTAATGGGAGTCGAGTGCACTTTAGGAATGATTTTTAGAGCATTCTCTTTCGCCACATCTGGACAGGACTTGGAAGGATGTGTAATCTATTTGTTAGACCAAACTCCTTTCTGTTATTTCTAATCCCAGGTCAGATTTCAGTCTCCTCTGCTATTTCTCTGTCCAGCTAAACCCTTGTAAATTATTTGAGTAGAACAACAATAACTTAATGTTTCAAACAATGTTAGGGGTCTTGGGGCTTTCCCCTCTAGACATTAATAAAGTTGAGATGGGTTTGAAAGCATCTCTCTTTTCAAGGTCTTGGGTGATAAAGTCCTGAAAGACCAATACCTTGTGGCTTTCATAGTTCATATCTAGTGTATCAGGCGTTAAGCGAGATTTCCAGGGAAAGTGATTATGTCTCACAGGGTCTTGCTAAAATGTTTATTAACAGAATGGTGAATGTGTGCCATAGATCTCCAAGGACTAGCTTCTGACCAATCTTGGTCAATCAGAACAACCTTTTAAGTGAAGATGTGGGTCTCTTCCCTCTTTTCCAGGTCCTTGATCTTGTATTAAAGATGAACATTAGGCTCCTCTAATTTTTGAATGTCTGACTTCACGAAACATTTCTCGCCATATCCTCAATGTCCCATGGTTTTCGAAAGCTTAGAATGTAAAGGCTTGGGGCTGAAGACTATTTTTTGGTAATTTTCTGTGATTGTCAGGTCTACTGTGATCATACATTTCATTCCAGAAATTAAGATTCACAGCTGAAACAGACTTGCAATGATACCCTTGCTCCTAATCAATACAACTAATTGAGGCCTAACTTCTCTCATGAACCATGGTCATGTTAGGTTGTTCGCAATGCTGCTTTACACATTACTTTTGAACAGTTTTGTTGTAGATAAGTGTATTGTGTGAATGGGCCCTGAGGGAGTATAAGATGTACAGTGACTGTGCAGCTGAAGTCATGATTACAGTTGGGAAAGTCTGGAAAAAATGGAGAAATTGTAAATATATATATATTTTAAAAAACATTTTTTTTCCTGTATTGTCGAAGGCTTTCATGGCTGGAATCACTAGGTTGTTGTAGGTTTTTTCCGGGCTATATGGCCATGTTCTAGAGGCATTTTCTCCTGACGTTTCGCCTGCATCTTTGGCAAGCATCTTCAGAGGCGTGACCTCACACCTCTGAGGATGCTTGCCAAAGATGCAGGCGAAACGTCAAGAGAAAATGCCTCTAGAACATGGCCATATAGCCCGAAAAAACCTACAACAACCCATTTTTCCCCTGTTCTTTTCCACATACACACCCTCATTTTTTCCAGTTTTTTCCTAAGATATTTTTTTGAAAAATTGAAAAGTGTATATTATACATTCTTTTCCAATGATAAATAACATGTCTATGACATGGTATTCAAACTAAATAATATGAAAGATTTCTAAGAGTTTTTTTGTTTTTACACACTTTTTTCCATTTTTTTCTGGAAAGAAATTGCTTTGGGGAAAAAACCTCCATCTTTCCCCCCAATGTTTTTATTTTTCCCGGGCCTTTCCATCTTTAGTCATGTTAACCCACTATTAAACAAGTATCAGCTGCATTACATACACTGTGCAAATGTCTATGAGAGCTGCAGAAACACCTACAAATACATTAATAGAAGCTGGAAATGCCAGCCAAACTGTTAAGAAGGCCACAGTTCCAAAATTGCACTTTAACCTCTTGCTTGCTGCTGAGATCTGTGCAGATCTGACAAACAGGAAAAAACAGTGGAAGGTTAATATATAGCGGCAACGGTTGAGTGTGGCTTCTCTCCCTATTCATCTAGGTATGGATGTTACTGATAAAATAACCAATAGTGATGACCGTTCATATCCCAACACCTGAAAAACTTTTAAAATACAGCTTTGCTATCACTCCACTTGGATGTCTGTACGTTATTATTTTTGCCACCAGAGCAAAATTCCATTTCTCCCCTACTATTGTAAGCAAAACATTAGGTGCCGCCACCGCTGTCATTATCCAAATCACATTATCTTTGCCACTACCAACATTTTAATAACAGGGGTTCCATCATTAACCTTAATGAGGCCTTCCAGATAGACTAGCAGCCTTGCTTTTAGAAGCTGTTGGAATCTGGGTTTTTTTTTATCGCCAAAATGATCTCAATGACATCTTGCCAGATACATCTTAGGGATAACACAGAGACAAGAAGCCTCCCTGATGTGCAGCACAGCGTAGGTGTGTGTGCACATGCATACCTCTCTTTAAAAAAAACAAGTAAGGTTTCTGAAGTCTATTTCGAATTATGCAAGATTAGCATGCTGCAAGCAAATATGGTCAAGATAAGATGTCTTTAATACACATTGATGTCAGGAGTTACTTATTGCTGGATAATGTCACATTCCTCTTTGTTCTGGTAAGGAATATAACATGAATGCGGCCAACTAGAACTTTGCAGAACTAGAACTTAACATGTATTCATTCATTCCCCCCCGTAGACCATTGCTTGAATAAATTACCATATCTCCTGCCAAAACCTATTCCCAGTCATGTTATTGTATGTAGTTACATTCAATCGTGCATGTATATTTGAGCAATAAATGTCAAGGAACTTTCATCAGAAGTCAAGGGGGTTAATTCTAAGAAATAAGGAAATGGCAAGGATCAACCAGGATACGGCAGCAGAGTTTGGAGTATATATGCTTTACTAGATGCGCTGTGATTTGGAAGGAAACCGAAGCACAGAGGAGTTAAAGAAAAAAGAATGCAGGGTGAAACAAAATTGAATTTGGAGAATGAGCCGATCAGGACATTTTCTGCAGTGCTACATACCTTCTTTGCAAACCCGCATGAAGATCTGAAGGCCAACAAAACCTTTACCAGGATCCCTTGGATAAAGATTTGGCACCTGTAATAGGTCCTTCTTTTTGCTCACTTTGATCCCTGACTAGTCAGCGGCAGTTGCCCTCTATGGCTGGATCCAGACAGGACTGCAGTATTCTGCAGTCCAAACCTGAAAATAGTGGATTTATCGCATGCCAAAAAGGAGCGGGATAAATCCACTATCAAATTAATTCGTTTTTAGCGAATTAATTTGGGACTGTCCAGAACGCTATCTGGACAGCCCCTCCTTTATTGTGGGAGTTCCCGCAATAAAGGTCCTGTCTGGATGGGCCCCATGTTTCTATAAATAACTTCAAACTATCCGATATATGAGAAATAAGAGATCTGGAAGAATTAATAGGAAAGATGGGCAAGAAGATGGACAAAGTTGCTGTGCTACAAACATGAGGCATGTACTGCGCAGACCCCTTTAAACCCTAAGTTCAAGGAGAGATTTTTCTTCCTGAAGACTGAAACTAGGGCCTGGCATCCTGAGGCCTAATCCACACAGGCCTTATAATCTACACTGAAGTGAATTATAACTGTGTGTGTGTGTGTGGCAGAACCACATTAAACATGTCAGAAAAGCCCAGAGAAAGCCCAGGTTATATCCCAGGCAAGCGGAAAACTTTGTGAGATTTCCACGTGGCGTGCTAGTGTGGATGGCGTTTTAAAACCCCAGGCATTTCTGTGCTCTGCAAATGCACTGCAGAGCATCTCTGCAGCTATGGGGGAAACAGTGGAAAACATCTGTGGATGTCCCACTAATCAGATCATTCTAGATTAATGTGGATGCCTCTGGATGCTACCGTTGCGGAGACTCCCTGGAAAGTAACGGGCTTTCTAAACCCTCTTTGTACTCCGGATTATAGGCATGTGTAGAAGCACCCTCTCTGTAGACATTTCAAACAGATGGGCAGAACAGATCTTGAATGTGATGGATATCAATTAGTGCTCATTCCCTTACTGGCACTCATGTTAAAATTATTGGTGACAATGCAGAAATAACACTATGTAATAAAATTGAGGGAAAAAAATCTGTTCCTGGTTTGAAATAGTTATTTCCTGTTTAACTATGTGGCATTTACTTTGAAAGCAGTAGTTCTATTACAGAAACTTTGTTTTTGTGGCTGCTACACACTATGTTGAATTGGTTGAGACTCAAATGATATATTCCTTGAAAAACTATAGCAAAATATGCTGCAGGATGTCCTGTAAAACAAAGTTTTTGTGGTTTGATCAACCTGTCCCATGTTTTTATGATGGAATCTATTAGGAAATGACATTTATAACCCAGGAACAAAAACTGTGTTACACAGTGTAATCTTTTCATCTTCTTCTTGCAGATTCACATGGAGTTTCAGATGAGGAGGGCTCATCCGAAGTCTTTTTAGCTACAGACAGTGACTATGACTCCAGCCGAGCCCAGAGCCCCAGAGAGCTTGACCTGGTCTACTCTTCCTCCAGCCATGAAAGCTGTGGAAAAAGAAACCCTCGCCCTTTGAGGGATAGCGCTCCAGACGTTCTGCAGAGCCACGAGTTGAAGACTCCTCTGGTTCCTCCAGAGGAGCAACCACCTCCCCCGGAGCTCTATGACAGCGACTTTGTGCTCCCGAGCCGGCAAATCGAGCTGCTGCGAATCACGGAGAAGCGACAGGCCTACTGTGTCCGCACCAGCAGCCTCGACTTCCCTAAACCCTTCTGCCATGGGGCCAGGAAGTCATGCCCTGGTTCCGTTGACAGCTCCCCGACCGAAACAAGGACTGCAAGCCGGTGCAGCCCTCTGAGGTTTGAGGCAGGCTCGGCGTTCAGTCCCAGGCACGGCTGGCCTGCAGAGAACCCGGAGGCTGTTTTTCGGACGCGGTCTGTGGAATGGACTCACACCTTCCAGGAAACACCCAAAACAGGACATGTAGCAAAGCAGAGCAAATCCTCAAGCTTCTTCACCTTGCATGTGTGCCCTCAGTATGAAACAGGGCTCTCCAAAGAGACAAGCATCAAGGTATTACCATCAGGTTTTGCCTCACTATTATAAGATCACTCTACAGAGAAAAAAGCCAGCACTTGCAGGCAAAAATGCCTGCCCTTCCCTAGATCTCAGCGTTTAAAAAGTCATGATTTCCACTAAATGTGCTTGCTCACCTAGTAGCTTTCCCACTATTGCTTATCCAGGGGCCGCTTTTCAGGACTAGTAATGCTAGTAGTAGGAAGTCAAAGGGCAATAACTTTATATTAATTATTTCATATGATCTGAGAATACATACAGATAGCAATGCTCTATACATTTGCAAAAGTGCAGAAGATGCTAAGCAGATGGTAAGCTCAGCACTTGTAATCTGCACAACAGTCCATGTCCCTCTGTTAGGAGTATTCATGAGGGACAAGTAGTATAGAGTGGAACTGTGCATCAATAGGGCCTTGAATATTTGGCATAGTGAAGGAATGCAAATCCATTCCAGTACAAAGTCATTTCATAGACTCTTCCAGAGATTTCTCTGTAATGTGACATTCCTGGCTCCAGCAATTTCTTTGCTAGTTGAGTGATCCATTTCCAAGCAGAAAATTTTATGTATGGAGACTATTTCTAGTTAAGCCAAGTTGAATGCTTGAACTTCCCAGTAACGTTTCAGTGTGACTGAGAATGCAAATTGTGTGTAAACCTTCATTAGTATTTATGATGATGATATAGGTTAGGGGTTTTACTATGTATATGTGCAGTCAGTTTTCAAAATCTAATGTTGCAAGCATAGCTTTCAGGTTGCGGGAGTATTCGTTCCAATAACTCAGCCATCAAAAGTTCCTCTCATACTATGTGAGTCCTCCTAACTTATTTGAATTGGGAACCAGTAGACTTTACGATCCTATCTGTTTGGAACATTCATCCACAGCCACTAGAACAAGGAGATTTATGAAGTTTTCAAACTGCTGGAAATCCATGCAAGGGAAAACAAAACAAGCCTTCTTTCTAGCGATTCTCTATAGCCCTATCTACACAGGCTCTATAATCCATATTATAAGGGGGTTGGGGTGGGAAACAACACATGCCCAATAAACGGGCAAAGCCCGTGTTATAAAAAGTCCAGAGAATGCCTGGTTTCAGCTGAAAATGTGCTGCAACAGAGCCCATGATATCCCAGGCACATAGAAAATGCGAGGCATATGGAAACATGTGGACAGCACCAGTGGATAACTGCATTTTAAAACTTTTAAAAAAATTTAATTAAAAAATCTTGCACTCTTCACATGCGCTGCAGCGCATCTCCACACCTACATGTGGAAGGAGGCAGTGGAAAACTTCTGGTAGAAGCATATACCATCAGATAATGTTTTATTATAAGGGGATTGTTGGTCGATTAAAGCAGCATTAGGGTATTAAGCTCAGTGCAAATTTAATGCGCATGTGTGGTTCAGTGTAGCGTACCACAACCTGATGCCTTCCAGAAGCTTTCACTATAAGTCCAGTCTGCTTCAGCCAATAGAGCCATGGCTAGTTTTTGGGATTGAACCTCTTTTCATAGTGTTCTAAAACACTATTTCCAGTTTTCAAAATTATAAATAACACTATGTAACATGATTACATAGTGGAAACACTATTTCCAGTTTTCAAAATTATAAATAACACTATATAACACGATTTTTGTTCCTGGGTTATAAATGTCATTTCCTAATTGAATCTAACATAAAAGCATGGGGAAAGTTTATTAAACTGAAAAAAAACCCTTTGTTTTACTGGGAAGGACATCTTGCAATAGCATTTTGCTCTATTTCTTCAGTGAGTATTTCATCATTGAGTCTCAACCAATTTACAACAAAATTTGTGGCAGCCACAAAAATGAAGTTTCTGGAGTACAACAACTACTTTCAAAGTAAGTACTGCATAATTAAACAGGAAATAACACTTTCAAACCAGGAACATTTTTTTTCAAATTTTCTTACATAGTGTAAACGCCTTCTCCAGAGATGAGCCCAAAATAGAATAGAAGAGACTGTGTGATCCCTTGGCCTCTTCTTATCCTAATATCACGGTGCATGTCATGTCAGTGCTGGCTTCTGATATGTTCTCGTCTTTTGTCCACTGTTCCTCTTTGTTTCACCTGCCTTTATTTCCGCACAGCTGCACATCACCAACACAATGTCAGCCGAAGACGTGGTGAAACTGGTGGTGCAGAAGATGAACGTGGTCTCGCGTGATGTCCTGGGAAATGCTGATGCCTTCTGCTACAGCGAAGAACAATTGGGTCACTTTGGGCTCGTGTTCATATCTGACAAAGCTGAGCAGTGGCTTCCCAATGACTTCCTGCCTCTCTCGCTTCACAAGGCTTGGCCTGATGGCAGGTTCTATGTGCGGATCAAAGAGACGTCTCCTCTCTTGTTTCATTATGGCCCGGCAACGACCGTATGAGAGGATGGGATGAGAGGCAGAGAAGTAAGGAACGTTCAACTTCCAGTGAGCAGACAGCTCACCACTGATGCTTCCTTCTTGAAAAGACAATTTTGTGCCATCCACCATGGGCCAAAATAGGAGCATACAGGGCAGTGTGTTGCTTTCTTGTGTGTGTGTGTGCGTGTGTTTCATTTTAACCAAAGAGATATCAAGACTTGGTTGTTATGGCTACAATTAAGGATAAAATCCCAGAGTCTTTGGGATAATGGAATAAAAATTGTCAAAGACAATTTCAGATACAAAGAAGAACTGGTTAGGTTTAAAGAAGCAATACATAATTATATATATTTTTTCATTCAGAACCTGGAAAAAGGGAGGAAATCAATGTGTTATGGAAGGGGAACCATCATGATCCTGGCTGGAATCATCCCAAAATCAGGGGCTGGAGCAATGGTGGGAAAAAGGGTGCAGCAAGGAGCTCACCAAGTCCTGTTAATGTTTCCTGTTTTGTTGTCCCTGGAAAAATATGAAATTGCACATGGTTCTCTGACCAAACTATTTTCCTAAAAAGGATTGTTTTCCTCCATCCTTGACTTCTTGTGGATTGGAACAAAAACTCGGAGAACAGTTGCCCTGGAAGCATCTTAGAGGAATCCAGATTCCTTTCCTGGCCTGTTCAGTGGCAATTTTGATCCCCTGGCAGCCTGGCTTTCAACTTTTGCATATTATTATTTCTATCAAAATAATCCATTTTTAAAAAAGTCTGCCCTAGAAATCCACAGTTTAAAATGCTGTACAAGATATTGAACTGTGTGAGAATCTACAGTCTTTTCTCTCCCAAAGAGGACAGACTTTGCATCTGGGATAAAACGTCCTCTTGGCAGGAAAGCTGCGTCCATCTTTTTGGAAGACTTAGGACCCATCTACTCAATATAATGCAGCTTTTGAATGCAGTTGAACTGCCTTGAAATTGACTATATGGCAGCATATACTCATATAATCCAGTTCAATGCAGTTACACTGCATTCTGAAACTTCGTGATATGGCACTGTAGACGGGGCCAAAGAAGTCTTAAGAGGTACTAAGAGGTTAAAACCACATTATTTCTCTTTTATTTTGTATTTTAGCCTCTCCCTCTACCCTTCCCTTCCTTTTCCTAACCACTGATCTAGAAAAGGAACATAGGGAAAAGGATGACCAGGAGACCACCCTAGATCTTCCCTCTCTCAAGAGGATCTTATTGCACTTGCTTGCTTTTCCTTACATTCCTCTTCAAGAAGGGGATGCAGTGACTCCTTTTCATCTCCTGCAGCAGCAGAAGATCGTGAGTGAAGCCAAGAGTCCCTTCTTTCCATAAGAAGATGTCGGGGTCATGGAAAGCTGACTTAACGCCAACACTGCAGCAATATCCAGCTAGAAATTGGAGACGATGCCTCAATGTGAGACCTAAATAATGGAGAATCATTTGAAAACTGCCACTAGCCTAGGAAAGATGTGATCAGGCCTATCTTTTTGACACTTCGGCTCAATCGTCTGGCCTGAAACAAAAGCAAGTAGCTTGGCACGTAAGCTGTTGTTTCCAGTACAGTGGATAGGGCTTCCTTTGAAGCACTTCCAATTGTGAAGAGAAGGAGGAAGAAGAAAGGGGTGGGGGAGGAAGCATTTCGTCTGGTTATAATGAGAATACAGAGCATAGCAGTCATTCCAAGCCTCCAAACCCTTTGACAAATCTAGCATGTCTACACTTCACTTTCAAATATTCTAGCCAAAGAAACACTCCCTCTGCTTCCCATATTGATGCCTCATCCCATAGTATTCAAAGTCTCTCAGCTCAACACCAGATGCCTGAACACTGGAGGGGCATTTCCAAGCTTTCCTGAAACATGGGTTGAAATTGTTGGATGACAGTCCCAGCCATCGCAGCCAGGGTGAAAGAAACTGGTAGACGCCATTCAGCAAGTTGTTGTTGAGGGCTGCACAGTTGTTGTCACCCTTGCTTTAAACAATCCATGGATTGTGTCACTTTGCACACAAGCCAAAGTTCTCTCTACAGTTACCTTGAAAGTCTCCCTGGTTGTAAAACAGGGAATATAGAGTCAGTGTTTATCTGAGAGACTTTGTTTGAGTAAAGATTTTGCTCCATCAATGGATGGATTGTGTTGTCGAAGGCTTTCATGGCCGGAATTACTGGCTTGCTTTAAGTTTTTCAGGTCATGTTCTCCTGACGTTTCACCTGCATCTATGGCAGGCATCCTCAGACGTTGTGAGGTTGAAACGTTAGGAGAGAATGCTTCCGGAACATAGCCATGCAGCCTGAAAAACTTACAGCAATCCAAGGGATGGATTGAATCTTTTGGCTGATAGATGTTCACAAGCACATGGAGAAGACCCAATGGGGTGCCCTCCCTATCTCGTAAATCTTTGGTCCTTTCTTTTTGGTGACTAATGTTTATAGTTGTGGGTCTATTTCTCCTCCTTCTGCTGCATTTCTTCTGATAAGGGGAGAGTATTCACTAAAACCTTTGGCATCTCTGATCTGGAAGAAGGGAAATCTTTCCCTAGCGAGGTAAAGGTTGAGCCAGACCTCCTTAGCAAGAAAAAGTGCTATCCCAGATGTAAAGACTCATGTCTGCCCTTGTAAAAGCATTTTTTAAAATATGTGGTAAGTAAAACTATTCCACTTCCTATGTGTTTTACAAACAAAACACAATTCGCCAGACATGGCAAAAAGTAGACTTTGCTATCCTAGGTGTGCTACAAGACCTCTGTTGTAACAACACTTGAGTTGTTAATCTTTCCTTTCCTCACTCGGTTGCTGTTTTGTTGCCGTGAATGTGATTGATTGCTCTTGTACAACCAGTAGCATGATGTTTTGTTGGCCGCTCGGTCTCTTTGTTAATTGCAACTATTAACAGAACTGTGGTCTGTAGTAAAGACGGCTATGCTGCTGAGAGTGATCCCACCTCTCTCTCTCCCTCTCTCTCTCTCTCTCTCTCTCTCTCTCTCTCTCTCTCGTCTTCTTGTGCCACAATCTCCTTTGGCCGCCCATCTTTGGGTGCCTATCTGTGAGCATTTATTCAGAACTCCCAGTTATGAGGAATGGTGTCTTCCTTGAAGAATTAAAAAGCTTCTCTTGGGTCAAATGCATAACTCCACAGAAAATGATACCTGGCTTGTTGCACTCAATTCCGTATGAGACAGATCAGGGAGAGAGGGCCGAGTTGTCTTTTGTAGTACTGGAATGCAAAGCAGAAAAACAACAAACCGGGGATCTTGGGCCAAAGAGCCAGAAAATAAAGCCAACATACTGGGGAAGTGTCAGGTCTCCTTTCGTCCAAGCATGAGGAGTGTTTTTGAAAAGAGCTCAGCTCCACAACTGGAATGTGTGTGTGTATAAATAACATTGATCACATCCCCTTTAATTGCTTGAGCTCTCTTTATTCGTAGTTAGGCATACTGAAATGCTCCCTTGGAAGCTTCGTTTTTCCCCCTGTGCAGAACTCCCTGCAGGATTGGTGCCATACTGTCTGCACATACTGCCATCTTGAGGGTTGCCTAAAGCCATCTGCATTTAAATGTTCTTTTTAAATAGCATTGCTGAGTGAATCCAGTAACACTTTAATGCAGCACAAAAAGCAGAACATAGCAACAGCATTTAGTTTCCACCATCACTATTATTTAGAGCACAAGCTCAGTAGTCTCAGCTACAGTCAATCCATGAATCCATTGGTCTGGTGCAAAAATGCTTTCAAACATTACTTTGGCCATAGCTTCAAATTTTCAGATTTAAAACGGTGCTATTTCCCAATGCACCAAACTTCACAAAAGACAGATTCCTCTGTGGAGCAAATCTTGTGTGAACAACAACCAAAAAGTAGATTAACGTTTGCAGAAGAACTCCACATATAATATCAAAGTCCGTTTGTATGTTACCTGTGCATCCTGCGGCTTGTCACAAACAGCCCTACCGGGTAAGTTATACTGAGAAATACTAAAACCATCCCTAAAACCACTCAATATATTTCTCATCTGTAGACAACTCTGTTGCACTGTAGCACACTGGGGCTGGATCTACACTTCCATATAATGCAGTTTCAGAATGCAGATTAATTGCATTGAAATGATTATATGGCACTGTAGACTCACTGCACTTTAAAACCGCATGAAATGGCAGTGTAGATCCAGCCTGAATCTTATGGTTTGCGGTTACTTTCCAACAGTTCTTAGTTCCTGGAAGAAGGCAGGTTAAGGCACAGATCCACTAAACGAGTCTCCTGAAGTGTCAAGGCGAGTCAGTGGCGAAGCCAGGATTACAATCAGGGTGTTTCCAAATCCATTTAGACCCTCCTTAGCTTAATTGGAGTGCCCTCTCATTAGAAACCGGTCTGCTGACAGTTCACAAGAGGCATAGACTGCTCCTCTGCCTCGACATGTACAGTCAAGCAAATTGCTTAGAAGAGAGAGAAAGGGGCACTGACTTTATCATAGGTGTCAGCCATGCCTTGCTGACTTGGGGCGACTATTCTTTCCTAACCGGCAAAAGTTGTTGCTTCCAAAGTAAGGCAGACATGTATGGCAGTTTGCAAAAGATTTAAATGATGTGGGTGGATTGGATCTTGATGGCAAGAGCACCTCTAGAGCAGCAAGCAAGGCAATACATAATACTTGAATGACGGAACAAAAGGCATCTTATCAGATCTGCAGATGACACCAAACTGGAACAAATACCCCTGAGGTCAGGATCAGGATTAGAATGTTGGGCCAAAACTAACAAAAGGAATTTCAACCAGGAGAAACACTTTGGTTGTTGTTATTATTATTTAATAAATAATACTATAAAATGAAATGCACAGATATAGGATGGGTGAAACCTGGCTTGAACAAAGTACATGTGAAAGGGATCTTAATAGACCAGAAGCTGAAAGTGAGTCAACAGTGTGATGCAGCAGCTATAAATTAAATGTAGTTATAGGCTACATCGATAGGACTACAGTGTCCAAATCAAGGTCATAGATCCACTCTCTTCTGCTTTGGTCAGATCTTTTCACCTGGAAGACTGTGTCCAGTTTTGGGCAGAACAATTAATGAAGGATAGTGACAAGCTGGGAGGTTATCCAGAGAAGAGAGATCAAAATGATCCAAGGTTTGGATGCCAAGCCCTATGAGGAGCAGCTCGGGGAGCTGGTGATGTTTTGCTTGGAGAGAAGAAGGTTCAGATAGCTGTGTTTAGATACTTGAAAGGATGTCCTGTTGAGGAGGCGGCAATATCCATGGATGTTTAAGTCCCATTATATACAATGATTTAGTAAAATGGTGTCCCTTACATAAAATGGGAAAAGAAGATTTGCTTTGAGAAATTAAAAAAAATCAAGTTGTGGATGCAGAATCTGGAGGCGAGATTCTCCATGCCATTCCTGTGTATGATTATCAATGAAAAAAGCTGAAAAGAAGAAAATGAACATATTTTAAACGTGGCTCTGGAAACATTTTTTAGAGATACCTTTGATTGCTAAAAGGACACATAAATGGGGCATAGAGCAAACCAAACGAAAGAAGCCAAAAGGACTAAACTGAGGCTGCCTTACTTTGGACATATCATGAGAAGGCACTCACTAAAGAAGAGAAAAAGGTAAGATAGAGGCAGTAGGAAAAGAGGAAGACCTCATTTCAGATGGATCGACTCCCGTCAAGGCAGGTTCTTCTCTAAATGTAGTTTACTAAAATTTGAATATAGTTTTCCTCTTCTATTGGGTCTTAACTGCCAAATATCTTCCTGTCTCCAAGCATAATTATAGGCATAATAATCATAATCATAATTCTTTGTACCCCGCCACCATCTCCCCGAAGGGACTCGGGCCGGCTAACAAAGCACTCAAGGTGCCACACATAAACAGAACAACATATCATCCAAACAATAAACAATTGACTGAATACAAACAATGGACACCATCAATCAATAAAATTAAAAGTTTTAAAAATTCTAAAACACAGTCATACCAGTGATTCATTGGATTTCTTCAAACACAAACTAAAGTGCCAAACAACAATGGTCAATGTCATCACATGCATTTATATCTCTGTTGTCTAAACAGTAATGATGGACAATGCTGCAAGATTTGGCTGGAGGTCTTCCTGGCTACTCATTAAGAATTGCTCTTAATGAGACATGCTGCATTATCACAGGATGTCTACGTCCCACACCACTGGAAAAATTACACTGTTTAGCTGTATCACACCACCTGACATCTGTCAGGAAGTACCAGCAAACAATGAAAAGACCAAGGCATTGACATCTGCAGCCCATCCTCTGTTCATATATCAGCCACTATGCCAATGTCTTAAATGAAGAAACAGCTTTCTAAGATCTAAAGAGATACTCGCAGGAACACCTCAGCAAGCGAGAGTCCAAAAGTGGCAGGCTAAAAATCCTAAAATAAATAAATAAATAAAATCCAGAACCTCGATCAGTGGCTGAGACTGGATGAGAAACTCCCTCCTGGCACACAAAAGAGTGGACAATCTGGAAGGCACTGAACAGGCTGCACTCTGGCACCACAAGATGCAGAGATAACCTTAAGAAATGGGGCTACAAGATATGAGTGCAGAGAAGAGCAAACCACACACCACCTACTACAATGCAACCTGAGCCCTGCCACATGCACAATGAAGTACTTTCTCACAGCAACACCAGACGCACTCCAAGTGGCCAGCTTCTGGTCAAAGGATATTTAGCATAATGCCAAGTTCTTTTTAAAACTTTGTTTGTGTTTTTACATGCATTTAAACTGTAACCTCAACTCACTTCTGACACGACAAATAAATAAATTCCTGGCTACTGATGCAATCCAGATTTATCACCAGTTGTATCATATCTTGGAAACAGAGACAACTTCTGTTCCAGCACCATAATGTTTTCATAGATGCTCTAGAATAGTGGTTCTCAAACTGTGGGTCCCCAGATGTTTTGGCCTTCAACTCCCATAAATCCTAATAGCTGGTTAACTGGCTGGGATTTTTGGGAGCTGTAGGCTAAAACACCTGGAGACCCATAGGTTGAGAACCACTGCTCAAGAACAACAGCAAAAAAGACAATGATACAGCTCCCCATAAGTTGTTGAACTACAATTTCCAGCATCCTCACCATTAACCATGCACACCAGATACGCTGGGTGTTATTCCCACCCTTGCTTCAGAATTTGTATTTGAAAGGGATATAATAATCCTTTTAATGGAACTAGAGACTCTTCCCAAGAATAGCAACATTTTTAGTATGAGCTAAAAGTGTCCATTTTATATTGTAAAAGCAGCAGTGCAACATGCGGACACCTGACAAATTATGGAAACATTGAGCTTATTGGAAGAGAGTTTTGGAGACTATTGATTACTGAGATTATTGAAGTGTTTTGGGATCTTCGTAACTCCTACCACCACAAGGAAAATATATACTACAATGAGTTCATTTGTGCATTTTCTCAGTTGTATATAATAATGTGAGTGGGATGTACCTGTACAAGACTGATGCATAGTTGTTTCCGTAGTCTAACACCATATGAGTTAGTCTATTGGGTGACCTTAGTGGAGTCCCAGAAAACTCCATGATAGATTCAGTTTAGTGTCCCCATAAGTCAAAATTGACCTGAAAGCATACAATGACAAATAGATCGTAGTAACTGGCCAAGATCACCCAGTGAGCTTCGTGGTCTCCTAGCAATAAGAAAATGTGTTTCACAAGTCTTCATTCAAGGTTTCAACTACAGTGCAGTAGATGTTTTTGTTGCCAAAGGACGATAGGAGGGTTAAACTTACAGGATGTGTTTCTACAGATATTTAGAGGATTTTGCTTGGTTTTTCCATGTTGATTTTTCAGTAGTCAACTTAGAAACTTTCTATATCTCATAAGATTAAAACTAGATGTTTACTAGATCTTTAGATAAAGCATATAGTTGTAAACATAATACCTTCACCAAGAGTTTCCCTGACCCTTCTTCCCCAGTTCTCAGCTGCCCTTCTCATCACACCCAGAGGGGAAAACTGGAGGAGACGAATTATAATCATTTTGCTCTATATCATGTATGATTACTTGGTGGTCACACAAGCTACATCGCTAACCGTGACCATTTCTTAACACTTAAGTTGTATACTGAACATTATGCCCATATAAATGCCTCAGAGCTAGTGTATTGGGAGAAACAGGGTTTATGGTTTCTGCTGTCATATGCATGCTATACATTATGTAGGACATGCTCATGCTCTGCAGCATTTGGGTTGTAAATGAATTGGCTTTTGAACTCTAGAACAACATCTGCTGGCAATGGGGTAATCCACCAACTTCTTTTGTCCTAATGGCCTATTGAAAGGCCATGTAGTAAATCTAAACCCATGTACATTTCTTTTCTTATAGATAGGATGGATTACTT